AGCGAGCTGAGTATTCTCCTACCACATACAAGTCTCGATCTATATACCCATTACAGCAAAAAATCAAAATGCTATAGAGAACAGCCATGCACCAGAGATGATCCCATATAGCTGAAATGTGTACAGTACAACTACGTCCAGCTAAAAAAATCTCACAAATAGAGCCCTCACATAATAATTTACCATAATATTTCACATAATTTCACGCATTTTCACATGACATAGGCATCAACTTGATCCATAACCTCGGCTTCCCTCTTAACGAATCTAATTAATTTCTTTCATCACGCTCGACCCCTGTGCCTATGAACCAAGTACACTTTGCTTTGGCTATACTTTGAATCTCAATTTGCATCTTTATTCTCTCTTTAAGTCACCTTTCACTCCCTCTCTCCCCAGTAATTGTCTTTTTCAGTTAACAAAAAACAACCTTTGTCTAAACTTGTAATTTAACAATTCACCAACAAAAATTTTCCTTGTAATTACCCTTACTCTCCAGTTCACCACCATTTAATGCAATCGAAAGTCTTCTCAATATAAATTGGTTAAAAATTTCATTTCCCCCCAAGCCTGAGATATTATCCCTTCAAAGTTATTCCTAATAACTATATAACGCTCCACCAGATATGCAATAACATCCTTTATTCTTGCATCTTACATATATTGTTATTTGTGTAATCGATGTTTTTCGTACTACTATTGATCACTTATCTAAATTTTTCTAACCAAGACTTTCATAACTAAATCTAGTCACAAAAAATTCCTTTTTCTGTTGTCCCGCTAAAAACGGTCATATTTAAACGATTAGAATCATAGAATCAATCTGCAAAGAGCAATAGTCAAACTCAGCCATATAGTTCTAGTTATAGGTAAGTTGAATGGGTTCCGTAACTGTCTTGGAAAACCCACTTATTTGTTAGCAAAAATTTAGAGAAACAAAAAACATGTCATAGACATCTGTATACCAAACAAAAAATCTCAGTGTAATTCATCTTCAAGAGCTTGACAGTTCAATGTCCAATATGACACACAACAATTCACCGATTTCCTTAAGCAAGCTGATATAAACGAACAAAAAATGGCCCAGATCATATATAAAGGCATTTGTACACCAAATAAGAGTGACGTAAGAATTACACACAATGTGAGGCATATCCACAACTTTAGCTAGTGACACAGTAACATCATTTCCACTGTACCTCTGCATGGTATATACACTGTTAGTTTTGTTACTTTTTTTTTTTTTTTATACTACATCCCATCTGACCTCCCAAATAAATAAACAAAATTCCCCGCATAAGATTAATAATTCAGTTGGCATCAATTGACAGTTAATTTCTCTTTTTCCACTGTTTGATGAGGAAAACAGCAAACTACTCATTCTGTATCCATTTATGAGGCAAAATGGAACTAAAACAAAGGGCAACTCTACAAATGCAGCAATCAAATATTGCACTTCAACTAACCTCTTTGCGTTGATGAAGAAAAAAGCCCAATGGAATAAAAAATTTCTCCCATTGCCAACTGATGACTGCAAATTTTTCCCCGAGTTATAGGGCAACATCTCGAAACTAGAACCAAGAAAATAAAAATAAGAATATTAGCACAATTGAGCTCAGCATCCAAAGAGTCCCACAACTCATGCGCCCACAAATCGCCCAACTTATTAAAAAACTGATACATGATATTATTAAATGGCCATGCTGTTGGCCTTTAAATAACTTAAGTCAGGCAGCGTGAAGAAAGTACCAAATGGGTAGTCTTAGATCTCCGTAACTGTTGTGCCATTATGGAGAATGTAAATATATACAGACGTAGCAATCATGCAGCACCTAAAAAGCACAGAAACCACCGCCACCCCTCAACCGAGTTTACATGCAAAACATCATGTTCATACTAATCATGACAGAAACTTGATAACTTCCTTCCGCCATATAATGTTAATTTAACCAGGGAATAAAAGTTACTAATCTAATGTCTTTCTCAATCTATTGTTATAAAGGCTGAATATGCACTATACCTAAAACTATAGCCATGAACCCCGTCCAGCACAATGTTGCAATCGGTATACCTCCACAGAAACGCCCTCACCATTTAACCGAAAAATGTACTACAGGCCATTTGACCGAAGATGGTTTAAATTACAACATACCCAATAAGAAATAGCAATTTGAACTTAGTCATCATAGATGAATGGAATGCTACTCGACAATTCCCTCTCACAAACTGTCATTCTATTTAAATATACACCGATTTGGTTGAAATATAAAAAACTAAATGCCTAGCTGTTCAGGTAGAGAAAAATAAACCATCCTCAATGTGACTCGTGAAAGACAGTATTTAAGATGCATATTGCGTCCCATCATCTTCCTCATCTTAATCATTTTTGTTGTCCGATCATCACCTTCCTTTCTCAAAATCTCTCCTTTGTTTAACCTTGCCCACTCTAAAACCCTCTCTTTCTCCTCTCTCCCAAAAACCTCTGTCCTTCTCTCCATTACCATAATTCCTCGTTGATCAATAAAGCCAATAGAACCCAAACTGACTAGCCCCATATCTATCCCCCCAAAAAGAAAAAATACCGCTCACAATTCTGCCTCCTCCGATCTCATGCTATATAAAGTCCATATATAACCACGCGTCTCAACCCTATGAATGCATCTCTATTTGGCACAAACATACGTTGACCAATGATAAAACCTGCATTGGCCCTACTTTCTCTATAACATAAATCCACACTATTTATATAGTGATATATTGATAAAAGATAGGTATCCACCATCCATATCTAATCCATATATGAGCTTGATATCATGGACTTGAATGTGATAATATATCAAACACGTATTATCACTATTTAAAAACTTACAATACTCTGGACATAATAACAACATTAAAATACAATTGAGATCCACCGAAGCTAAAAACTGAAATCACAGATGATTTTGATTACAAATCAATTTGATCT